CCTTGACATATTGATTGTTCGAACGGCTAATGATAATGCTGAGTGATCCCTTTCAGAGGTTACATATATATGTGTCACATATGCTCAATGATGCATCCCACGAACTTTGCCCCAATGTGAATGGTATAGTTGTACCACCAGGAGATTAGCTGTGGACACAACCACGCATACAGATATACCAGTGCAATTGCGGTTGCAGTAATACTTTTTACCTTTTATAATTAATATATGATGAAACAACTTTTCGGGAAGTGAGAAAATGACCAACCAAAGGGCTGCTATACTACACGGAAATTGAGAAATTCAAGCGACGAGGGTGGTGTGATTCGAATACGTCCTCCGGGTGATAACTTGGTGATTTTAATCACTCGATCACCGCCGCCACATGTATCCAGCAAGGGGCAAGTGCAAAATACAGCTGGCCTCTATCCTTCAGTATTGGGGGCAGAGGGCAGGATACCCCTGTAAGCTCCGTCACCACTGGGCCGGTTACCCCTCCATAGTCCTTTGAGGTGCCCATCCAGACACTGGTTGGAAGCAGCATCGGTCGTCTCCTCCACCACATTCGCTGGAAGGGAATACCAGAGCGTTGTTGACCTCCGTGAGAGTCGGTAGACTAACCGAATATCAACTGTCTGAAGTTTACGCAACGCGAGAGAGTGCCCTCGCGTGCATTTCTTTGTCTGCAAAGGTAAATACTGCTGCAACTCCGGGCCCATATCACCACCCTGGATCTTCCTTACGCAGATCAGATCTCCCCTGATGCGCCGATTCGCAACTGGGAATATACCAGTAGCTTGTAGATGACCTTCATAGCTAGTCCCATGTAGTCCAACAGCGAGCCTAGTCGCAGCACGTACACGCTCCAATTTAGCCATTTCCCTGGCCGTGCAGGGGTGTGGCAGCGCTACCATGATCAATTCTCGGACTGACGTGGGTAGCGTACAGTAGTCTAAAGGCGTCTATCGTAAGCCGACTAGAAGATCTCAGAATGGGTCCCCAGAATGGTCCTCGTATTGACGCAAACTCTATCGCTGTTCTCTCAGATCTTCAGTGATGGCGTCACCATAACTCCCAGATCCCTTCCACACGATATTCTGCGCAGTGTGTGGTTTCTTGTAAACCACCTTCGAATTAGCACATCCCAGGTGCAAGTAAGCGGCATCGATTGCCAAATACCTGATCCGAACAAAGTGAATAGTTCGCTTGAGNCTCCGAAGCTGTTAATATCAAACCAACCAATACTTCTCTGGTCTTATGGAGACTGTATAGTATTAACACGAATGCTGTGCTATCCATGGACATAATCAGGATTCATTTTCACACCTACTTTTTCTGTGTTCATTCACAAACGTTTTCGTTGTTACACATTTTTGTGTGATGAACAGCAGATGGGGCGAAACCCGTAGTCACGAGGACCAGCTGTTCAGTGATGGAAACCGGTAACCTAACCCCCGAAACTTGGAGTGGCAAACCATATCAGGTCCAGGGCTGGGTTAGGTTTGGTATTGTACCGGACGACAGCAAAGCTGCCTACCACCAAAGTTGGATGGCGGT